GCCAATGGGAAGCATGTCGGAGGTACAGTTAATTACCATGTTTGTCTATTATTAGATAGGATAGTGTGTCTCCCACAAAGCCAGGCTTATTGAGGCTCTTCAGTGACTGAGGAAATCAAGAGGATGGTTCAGCTGCTACTGAAAATGCTCAAAGTCTGTACTCATAATTGGGTGGCAGTCTTGTGGATATTTACCCATAAACACAAGCTAATTCAGGCTGTATCATCTATATATATATATAAGCCTAAGTGACCATTAGGACCAGTCAACCAACCGGTCGACTGGTTGCTATGACACGCACTGACCACAGGGGGAAGACAACGCAGGAACTGCCCCCTGGTGGTCAATGTGTTTTCACAGCCAACCTCCCGTGGCTGGCCAACCTCCTACAGTCTCTCCCCTGGGGCAGTGGCCCCGATTGGCCCCAGTCGGGATTGGGCAAGATGGCCCCAACTGTCATTGATCGCGGGCCAGGCGAAGGGACCCCACCCTTTCACAAATTCATGCACCGGGCCTCTAATGTTAGCTATAATTAGCGAACTAACTTAGCATCTCAGTGCAATAAAGTAAAGTAGGCACTGTCACTCTCTCAGACCCCAACATACAGACTGCAGTGAAGTTTAATCTGTATATTGTCTCTTCGGAAGCCAGGAATCAATTTATGCCAATATTGACTCTGACATTCTCTTTGTAGTTTCTTGACTGTAATTATCCCGAATTATTTTCAGTAATTGCCTGTTTCACAGTAGCCTATGAACAGATTATTCTGTTGAACAGAGAATCAACTATAAGACATATCAGCAGCAGCACTGCTATTCATATGCTATAAAATGCAACATGGAGTTTAGGTGGTTTTGTGTTTTAAAATATAAATGTATGTTCTTTACTATAAGAGTGAATTAAAGTTTATTAGCATATAAAACTGCTTCTGTAACCCAGTATTTTACCCTAACTGAATATTGCTGACACAATTTAATTTATGGAAAGTATTTATTGTTTAACTATCTTTTATAAATGAGCCATTCTGGAATTAGTTGCTGTATCTGCAACCTTAGTATTTACTAATATAGAGGTCCTTGTTCTCTTAGTATTAAAAGGCCACTAAATTAATTAATAAAAAATGAGCTCTAGAAATTCATAGTAAATAGTGAAAAAAGTTTGTTACTTAATCTTGAAAAATAAAATTTAAACTCAAAAGTAAGTGTATTTTATCTTAACTTGATTTAGTCTATCATTATAATTATGTACTAATTATTAGAATGTACAAAGACACAAACTATAAAAACTCAAGAAAAAATGAATACCCTGAATAGCACTATAAATTAAAAAGTTAAACTTATAATTTTAAACCTCCCAATAAAGAAAGCTCAAAGATCAGATATTTTCACAGGTGAATTCTACCAAATATTTAAGGAATAAATAATACCAATTTTGCAGAAACTCTTAAAGAGGATGGAGTACATCCTAACTCATTCTATGAGGGCATCATCACCCTAGTACAAAAAACATATATATAAAAACATTACAAGAAATGAAAACTACTGACAAATACCTCTCATGCACATAGATGTAAAACAAGTAACAAAATTTTAGATGAGATCCACAATATCTGGAAAGGATAGCTGCATTATGACCAAGTGAGGTTTATCCCAGGAATGCAATGTTGGTTTGACATTTAAAAATCAATCAATGTGATTCACCATATTAACACACTAAAACCAAAAGTCCATGGGATTGTATATGATAATCTCAATAAATTCAGAAAAATAAAATTAGAAAATATTCTGATATAAGCTCTCATCTAACTATGAATAGAGCTAAATCATAGAACTAAATGTATAACCTGAACCCATAAAACTTATAGAAGGGAACACTGGAGAAAACCTTTGTGACCCTGAGTGCGGCAAAGATTCATTATACCAATACCAAAGGCATGATCCATGAAAGTAAAATTGATTGAAATACATAAAAATTTAGAACTGATATTCCAAAGACACAGTTAAGAGAATGAAAAGACTAGGAGAGGATATTTTAAATCACAAACCTGATATAGGACTTGAATCTAGGATATTATGAATAACCCTCACAACTTCAATAATAAGAAAATAATCTATTAAACAATGGGCAAAACATTAAATTGCACAGTTCAACAAAGAGGATAGGCAGATGGTAAATAAGCACATGAAAAGATGCTTAGCATCATTATTCACTATAGGGATGCAAATTAAAAGCACAAGGAGATACCAACATACAGTATAGGCACTAGTATGTCTACAATGTAAAAGATTGGCAATACCAAGTGATGGCAAGTATGTTGAGCAACTGGAACTCTCATATACTGCTTGTAGAAATGTAAAATGCTACATTGGAAAGCAGGTCAACAGTTTCTTAAAAATTTAAGCATATACCTACCATATGTTTCAGCCATTCTGCTCAAATTTTGTGCAAGAGAAATGAAAGCATATGTGTATACAATGACTTAAAGATGAATGTTCCAGACAGCTTTATTTATCATGACCACAAACTGGAAACAACCCAAATACCCATCAACAATTGAATGGATAAACAATTTTCTGTATATCCATACAATGGAAAACTACTCAGCAATAAAAAGAAATGAACTATCGATACATGCAACAACATTAATGAATCTTAATTATGGTGAGTGAAAGTAGATAAAAAGGAGAGTGTAGTGCATAATTTCATTTTTATAAAATTCATGATGATACAAACTAATATGGAGTGACAGAAAGCAAATTAGTGGTTGCCTGGTGATGGGGGGGTGCAGGTGGTGGAGGTACATGGCAGGGACATGTAGAATGGTGAGATTACAAATGGGGTACCAGGAAATTTTGGGGGGTGATGGCTATGTTCATTTTCTTAATTGTGGTAATGGTTTCCCAGGTACATACATATATTAAAACATCAAGTTGTATACTTTAAATCTGTGCAGTTTATTGTATGTCAATTATCCTATATAATCAAAGGCTAATATGCAAATTGTCCCTTCGACCGGGGGTTCAACCAGGGGACAGGGCCAGCCAGCCAACTGACCGTGGCCCCACTTCCTGGCTGGCCTAGCCCTATTGGCCCCGAGGGGGCAGGCTGGCCAGACCCCACCTATGCATGAATTCGTGCACCGGGCCTCTAGTACTTCAATAAAGCTGTTATAAATTTAGGACAGTGGAGCAAATGTGTCACACTGAATTTTCCATGAACTTCCATGTCTTGAAAGCTATTAAATTTTTAGTGAAAAGTCAACAAAGTTAGAATCAAAAGTAGTTTACTTATAATTATAAGGTCTAGTTTTAATTGTATTGTCTAACCAGTTTATTCTCTCAGTTAATTATTTACCCAGGGTTATGATTATTATTAAAATGTACTTTTGTGTTGAACTGCAGAAGTGGCTTTCAAACACTGTCATGCACAAGAACACTTGTGGGAACTTGTTAGACATGCGGATTCCTAGGCTTCACCCTCTAGGGACTGAATTGTGGATGTGGTCTTGGGGTCTGGGCATCTGCAAGTTTAGCAGGCTTCCCAGGCAATTTTAATGTATCTATCCATAGGCCACATTTTGGATTCACTTCTTCCCAGAACAATGTTTACATCAAAATTGTATGAACTTGGATGAGCACCATGGACCACTGGGGCCAGACGGAAATGGAGTATTCTTGATTTGGTTCTACCTGTATTTACACCACCTATTAGAGAAGGCAGCTGACTTATTTGGAAGAGGCAGCAAGTTTGCACTTGTGTGTTGGCTGATATTCATTGTGCCCACATTTTTTAGGAAATAAGTGTACAGATATTAGAAAGAATTAAGGGGCTATAAGATTTTTCTTTCCTCCTTTTCTTCTTCTGCTTCCTCCTCTTCCTCTTCATCACAATATTCATTGGCCCGCATTTGGCATTTTGTGTAATAATCATGGCAGCATGAAGAAGGAACCATCTTATACTTTACTAGAGGCCTGATGCATGAAATTCGTGCAAGAGTAGGCCTTCCTTCCCCTGGCTGCTGGCGCCAGCTTCCCTCTGGAACCCGGGACCCAGGCTTCCCTCGTAGCTCCGGCTTCATCCTGAAGGTTGTCCAGAAGGACGTCCGGTCTAATTAGCATATTATGCTTTTATTATTATAGATCAGGTACCGTTAAGAAATAAACACACAGTAAGAGTAACACGATTTATCACTCTTAAGTTTGGCATCATGGTGAGCTGGCAAGCCTTCCCATTATGCATTTCTTTGTGCCATTCCAGAGATAGATTTATGTTACCTATCAAAGCATAGCATTTCTTACCTTTTTAAGTACTTACATAAACTGGCAGGAAGTAATGTTCTGTGCAATTTTTTTTTTCATTAGAAATGATGCCATGGTATGGGGAACAATTGGCCATTGTTACTGACCTGGTCCCCACAGTAATCACTGACAAGAATGACAAGACTGGCAGCTGTTGTCATGGAGCTGTCCTAAGGCTGTGGAATAAAGTTAAAAGAGTTGTGCAGTACAGAGCTCATGACTTCAGGTCCTGTATAGGGTACAATAACTAACAGTGAACACACTAGCCTTAGGGTCGCAATACTGTGGGGTCACATACTACATGGCACAAGGCTTTGAAGATGGGTGTCAGTTTTTAACTAGACTGTGCTAATCTGCTGCTTCTAAAAAATAGCAGAGCTTTCAACAGAGCCAGTATTATAGTCCAGATCTGGAGTATGTGGTTTGATAATTTAAAAAATCCACATGGTAGTTATAAAGAAATGTATACTATAGATATAATGCAGATGTAAAACTAAAAAGCAGAGCTAGAATATTTCACAAAATTATAAATATATTTATGAACCTGAAGAATTGGGTGTCATATATACTTGGAAAACCAAATTTTGGATGCTCACTTGGAGAACCACGAATGTTTTAGTCGTTCTTGTATCTTAAACGTATGTTGTTGGATACACCTTACTGTCGTCTTCAGTACTACATTTAATCTTTTATTCCCCATAGACACGATGCCATTATTATCTCAGGAACTGAAATGGCCAAACAAATCCAGAAAGAAATACAAGAGGGTGTGGAGTCCTGGATTTCCCTTGGGAACAGAAGACCTCACCTCAGTATCATTTTAGTGGGAGATAACCCAGCAAGCCACACCTACGTCAGGAAGAAGATCCGAGCCGCCTCTGCTGTAGGTAGGGATGCTTTAGTTGTGCTTGTTACTAAAGAATGTTTCTGGTTTTACTGCAAAGTGTAATAATGAATGATCATTGTCAAATAAGTGTTATTTGAATAACATTTATTATTATGATAGGTTTTTTTAGTTACCAATGTTTATGTTCATTTCTTACCCCTTGTCTTTAAATTTCTTATTGAATCAATTCAATGTGATTTCAGCTGCTATGGTGGGATGTGAGAGGAAGACTTTACACTTAAAAGGACCATTTTTAATACATTTGCTTTAATGAGATAATAAATCTGGCCAGTTCACTCTGTCAAGCTTGACCTGTCAGTGGTGGTGGTGCTATTGATGTTTTTATTGTATTCAAATTCACTAATAGTAGCTTATCACAAATAAGGGCAATTTGCCACATAGGATCCTGGGCCAAAGAATGCATGTGAATCCTGTTTGAGAAGTCTCTTCTGATGATGCTTAGAACACCATTTTTGTAGAAGGGCCTTTCCTTCCTGTGGGACAGGAGCAGAGAAAACCAGTTACACAAAGCATGTCAAACTCGCGGACTGCATGTGGCCCAGCCAATATAATGGTATCTAAGAAACATTTTAATAAAAATTTCATAACTTAACTTTTACAATATCCTGTTATACATAATTATTAATAATGAACTACAACGTTTGCTAATGACTGATTACTATAATCATGTTGCATTCATTTCCCTTACGTGCCTTACGTGCAGGCGCACCATTTCTCTCCACTAATACTAGCAGCGAATATTTTAGCAGCCCATTGCCACTCATTAGCCTTGGACTGACTTGTTTGGTGTGTGCAACAGGAAATATTTTACTTTCGGAGAACAAGAGAAATAGGTTTATTTGCATTACGCTTATTAATTTGTGCAGTTATTCAATGTCTGGTAAGTTAATGTTCAAGAAAAAATATTAATTTTGATTAAAATGTTCTATTATTTTATATTAATGATTATTCGTTTATTTCAGCCCTTTGTATTCAGCATTTCTCTATCAAAATACACCTACGTTTCAATGAAAATTGAAGCTTTTGTTTTTTTTGTGGCCCACATAAACTTAAACCTTGTTTATTTGGTCCATGTTAGCCTTTGAGTTTGACATGCTTGAGTTACACACTGTGTAAGACACCACTAATGAAAAGCACACAACTTTGTTAGCCAGGTGACTGTCTGTGCTTGTTTTCTTCTAGGTATCTATAGTGAGATCATTCTAAAGCCTAAGGATGTTTCTCAAGAAGAGCTTTTGGATATAACTGATCAATTGAACATGGACCCAAGAGTCAGTGGCATATTAGTTCAGTTGCCACTGCCAGGTATTTAATGCTTTTCTATATGTCTGCTTTGGTTAGGATAAAGGGCACCTTTCAGCATTATGTCATGATACTGCAAGTAATTTATATAATTTGTTCAGAAGGGATCAAGCTATTATACTATCATGTAATAGTGACAATTTCTGAATGACTTATGCTTACAGTGACTGAAAATTGTGAAAGAACAACTTAGACATTGACAATACATGCAGTCCTTGCTTTGCACAGTATTGCAAGACCATAAAATGACTGTGTAAGCTGAAACCAGGCAAAGTGATCTTAATAATCAAGGGCAAAAATGTCAATTGTTCCATGACTCTAAAATGTTTTCTCAAACCATTATAAATTTACTTACTGTGGTTTATAAATGTATAGGGAAATGAAAAATAGTAAAACTAATATTTATTTAGTACACTGTAGTTTAAAACATTAAAACATTAAGAATGAAAGTGTTTCATTTCTTTACAAAAAACTTGTCAAGAATTTGAACAGAACTTACCGTCTTCTCATTGTATGACTTACAATATGGAACAAGCATCTTTTCTAAGTCTTGGTGACTTGAACTTTCATATTTCTTTTTAAGTTTGGATCAGCTTTCATTTTTTTCTTTGTACTTTCAAAGTTGTAAATATTTCTGAGTTTCTTCAAAGCAAGGTTTTATGCCAGTGTCACTTCCTCTGGGACATTGTCATTCTTTTTGTCATAACTTTCCTCATTGATGTTGGTAAGTTCACCTTCTCTGAATTCCTGTCACTGCCTAGCTAAGTTGCTCCAAAGGGCACAGTGTCAACATTCCAGTCACCTATTTCTTGTACAGCCATTTATATTCAATTAGCACGCTGTTGAAGCAACTTGAGCTTGTTTTTTAGGTTATAGGTCTTACGTTCACTTCATGAGGGCCTACATTTTTCATGTCTTTGCTTGGCTGTCACCATTTTTAGATCTATTCAATCCACTTTCAGTTCTAGCAACATCACATTTTGACTCTGCTGTACTTTTCCTCTTCATAGGCTAATTCCCTCTGTTGATTACTCACTTTGGGGAAATGTCATGTGAATTGTGACATTACACTTGGAGATAAGGAGGCAACATGCTTTGCTGTCTATGTTTGAACTGAATACAAATGTGCAGTGGGCAATCATCGATGGACTTTAAAAGAAGTGATATGTTGGTCACTGCTCCTGATGCTACATCTATTATTTAAATAGGGATTTACAGACCAAAGAGCCAGAAACTCTGACATAATATAGTTAATATACCATGGTCACTGACATGTAAATTGTGTTATTGGAGGACTGGTGTTATTTAATTAGTTGTGGCTCTAAAATTTGTGCATTTTCAACGAGCAAAGCAAGGACTGCTGATATAGTATAGTTTACATTAGTTTTATGCAGTTTTGCACCTTCTGTAAGTTTGGACTTGCAGAAAATAAAGATGCATGATGCTTTGCTTCGCATCTTTATATGGTATTAATATTTTAATTTCTCCAACAATATAACCTAACATCTTAGTATGTTATAACTTATGTGCTGCTCAAATTATACCAAAAATTTATATGTCTAATTCCAACATGGCTGCATTTTAAAAATAATAAAGTTGGAAAGGATCTTGGAAGTTATCAAGTCGTCAAGGTTTCCCTCTGAGAAAGTGCTTCTGATAGGTAATACTATGGATTCATCCTGTTAAAATTAGTATAGTAATTCATCACTTACTTTTAGAACTGGAAAGAAATTCAACTGTACAACACCCTCATTTCATATTATAGGAAACTGAGGTCTAGATATTATCAGGGGTTTGCAAGCATCATAAATCTGTCCAAAAATATTGGCAATGGGTTTAAACCCAATTGTTTGGCTCATGCAAAAAAAAAAAAAAAAAAGTAAAAACCTTTTTTGTACTGTATTTGCCAAGCAATCTATTTATAGTTTGCAGTTTATGAAATTTCTCTCATTTGCATTTGTACTTCATCCAAATCCTATATAATAAAACCCTAATATGCAAATCGACTGAACAGCGGAACGACTGGTTGCTATGATGTGCACTGACCATCAGGGGGCAGACACTCAATGCAGGAACTGCCCCCTGGTGGTCAGTGTGCTCCCACAGGGGGAGTGCTGCTCAGCCAGAAGCTGGGCTCATGGCTGGTGAGCAAAGCAGTGGCAGGTGGGTGGACTGAGAGAGAGATGTCTGCCTGCCGACTTAGGCCCAATTCCCAGGGGGATCGGGCCTAAGCCGGCAGGCAGACATGGGGGATTGGGCCTAAGCTGGCGGGCAGACATCCCCCGAGGTGTCCCAGACTGTGAGAGGGCACAGGCCGAGCTGAGGGCCGTTTCCCCACCCCCACCCCCTCCCATTGCATGAATCTTGTGCACTGGGCCTCTAGTAGTTATATAAAATGTTACAAATTTCCAAATAACAACATTCAATTTAGTCTGTCTTAAAAATTAAATTTATATCTGTAGAAATTTTACCCCTTTTTGGGCAATGTCACTCATTTGGTGAATTTGTTAGCAATACCACTAGATGGCACTGGTGATCTATCTGTATAGAAATAAATTGTTTGAGTCCTGTTTATTTTGGAGGGTGAGAAGCATGGAGCCAAAGGTGGTAACTAACATCTGGATACTCTCAGAAAGAGCAATTTTCAATTAGCTGAAAAGCCAGTAATATACAAAATAGTAGTGGCTAACATTTATTAGATTAAGCAGTTAAATCTCAGTCACTTTACATTTATTAATTTATTGAAATCCTCACAATAATCTAGTGGGATTGGAGCTTTCGTTATGCACATTTTACTGATGAGGGATTTGAGGCCCAGAGAGGTTAAACTTTCCTTAAGGTTACAGAGCTGGTAAGTAATTGCACTGAGATATGAATCCTCGTAGACTGGTCACTCATGGCATTACTTCCAGCAGTTCTCAACCTGTGGGTCGTGACCCCTGAAAATACATCCTGCATTTCAGATATTTACATTACGATTCATAACAGTAGCAAAATTACAGTTATGAAGTAGCAACGAAAATAATTTTATGGTTGGGGGTCACCACAACATGAGGAACTGTATTGAAGGGTCGCGGCATTAGGAAGGTTGAGAACCTTATGTTATCTGGTGAATAATCTGTGCTTACTATGTTGCAGGCACTCTTTTGTGCAGCTTATTTTATTTAATCTTTAAAACAGCCTTATGCCGTAGGAGTTATCGTCTTCATTTCACAGATGAGGAAACACAGAGGTTAAATGAATTGTCCAATGTTACTTGATAGTCAAAGGTAGAGCCAGGACCCAAATTCAGGCAGTCTGATTCCAGAGCCTGCCTTTTAACCTTTATCGACCTACATAATGCTGACTCTGAACATTACAAGCAGGTGTTTCAAACATTCACATTCAGGTTCCTAGTGCATGTAACTACCATCTCCTCTAGAATTGCCTCAGTGATCTTCCATCTGTTCTACTTGCTCTCCAGCCCTGTAACCTATATTGTTATGGCTTTGTCCTGCTCAGTAATGATATTCCTATCATTATTCATAATTTATTTTTGGTAAGGGTAAAAAATGATAATAGCAAGGGTAAAAAATGATAATAGCAAGAGTAAAAACTATAAATATATTTATAAAGACTATAAATATTAAATAGACTATTAATCCTGAAGTGGCCTATGTCTTATTTTAGTAATCGTATACTGAGTGGTATGTTGTTGCCAGCAGAAGATACCATTCAGCTTTGGATATTTGCAGTCTGAGTTTATAATCTGACCTTCTGATTTACTGATTGTTATTTAACTGATGACTCACTTTTTTTCTCTTTGTAAAAAGAGGATTGGAACTATATAACTCATTTGGGTCATATACTTTGTTGGTTAATACAGAAAGTTGATTAAAAAGGAAAATCATAAAAACAATGCATATTTAGCTTAAACATTGTATTATAACATAAAACATTTAAATAACTCATTTACTCATCAATTTTTTGGTGTGGGTCCAAGACTCTTTGGAACCTACTGATTAGAATTTTGTATCATCTTATAGCATTAATAATACCTATGATTTATTGGCTATAATTTTCAGTTGGAGGTGAATGTGAGAGAAATTTTGTCCAGATTTAGAAAATATCTCCCTAATTTCATAGTTGTCTTGGTTTTATCTAAATTATTACTAATTCTTTTTACTTCTTGAGTCTTTCCAGAACATTCAGCTTAATTTTCATAAATATAACTGTTTTCACAGTCCATTATTATTTGGTTATATCATTTTAAAATTAAATTACATAATTTACTGCAAAATAATTGGCAAAACCAGATTGAGGTAAATGTACAATTATTTCTTGATTATCATGAAATTCAACTGGTAGGAGCAGGAATAGTTTATTAACTACTCTCTGATATCCTTTTGGCAAGTCCTGGACATCAGCCTGCATGTTTTACAGAAGCAGGGGAATACATTAGTCATTTTGGTAGGGGGCTATGTGGAAGTGGGTTGAGATAGCCTCTCCTGTACAAGTCTGATAGGATTGTTATAATGAACCAATGAGTAAATGAACAAATGAAACAATTCTATTCAATTACACTTCCAATATTCTATCATTTGGTTAATAATCTGAATTCAAATTATTTCATGATTTAGAAATCTGAGATTAATTTTTACAATTGTGGAAATATCTTAAGTAAAAGAAATTTCAAGTTAGGATTATAATTCTGATGTTGGAGGACAAGTTTGCATAAGGATTAAACAATGTACAAGCAGTTCCATGGACTCATTTGGATAGAAAGCAAAGAAATGAGGTAGATTTATAGCTAATAAGTCAACAAAGGAAATAGAATGGAATTGTTAAAAACATTTAATTATTCTAAAGGGGGGAAGAAAAAAAGGAAATGACAATAATGAAAGCATATAACAGTTGATAGATTTGGTTAAATAAAATAAAATGTTGTAAATAACTCAATTAAATATCAGACTTTATCAGATTGAATAAAGAGCAAGACCCAACTATATGCTGCCTATAACACA